GAAGCAAAACATTTTCAAATGTAAAAAAAAATCACAATAGTAATCCTTAGGCAAAAGTTGATCATTTCTTCCAAAGTAGCATAATGTTGCTGTCCTAATTGTTTTTATATGAAACAAAATTTTATTGAACTTAGTGGGACTTACTTCCAAACAGATGGTTTAAGATCAAAATAGAAATAGGTACTTTTCCAAAAGGAACTGGAGTTTCTTTTTTTTCCCCTTTGAAAATGTTTTGCTTCTCATCTAAGTTTCTTTAATTCTGACTGTTGGGGAATGGAAGGATTTATAATCTTTGCAATCATCTAATCTTTTAGCAGTCTGAAGGTTGGTTGTTAGCCTCTCTGAGATTCGTTGAGGCCACTTGAGGGTTTATCTGTATGCTCAGATTCACCTGAATCAGTGTGCAAATGGGGGTGGAATCTTCTTGGGACTGCTGAAAGGACTGTGTTGTAGACAGAAGATAGGTGGTGTCCTATCCCTCTATTGAGAGAGGGCTATTCATTTTAATATAGATAGCCTCTTTGATCCCTCTTTCAAACCAATGGTCCTTTCTGTCCAGAATGTGGACTTTGCTGTCTTCAAAGAGTGATCTTTGTCTTTCAGATGCAGATGGACTTCTTAACCCTGTCCTGATGGGTTTGTTCTCCTGTGTTGTGCTATGTGTTTGTGAAATGTTTCTTTTGTTTCCTTAACATACAGATCTGCACATGTCTCACTGTAAACCCCTTCATAAACCACATTGCTCAATTTGTGTCTGGATGTTTTATCTTTAGGGTGGACAAGCTTCAGTCCCAAGAAGGATCCACCTTCCATTTTCCACCATTCAGTTAGAACTGAAGAAGAGTCTTGGATGAGAAGCAAAACGTTTTCAAGGAAAAAATCCAGAAAGTCAATTGCCTTTTGCAAAAGCACCTATGGGACAACCATGACCTGGATGATTGAAAATTTCCATAGACATCAAATTAGAAAATTAAAGTACAAGCAAACAGAAGAAATGGATTGATTGACTAAGGCAACAACAGACTCATGTACCATCCTTCTACCTTCTAGTGCCCTTCAGATGTTGTGTTGCTGGGTGGTGATTTTGGAAATTGTACTCCGTGTGTATGAAGTGAACCAGGTTAGAAAACCTAACTCAGCAAAATTTATTCCTATATGTAGCTCTGATTAGAATTATTAGACTAATTAGACTGTCATAGGTTTGCTAGACATAGGGACATGTGCAACAATGACGGTGAAGATGAAAGGATAAAGACATTGGTTGCAAAGAAAGCAGGCAGTACATATTAATATTCCTTGCAAACCTTTGAAGAAAGCAGCTGGGATGTTACTTTGTTATCTCTTCATTTTTTTAACCTAAAGAGTCTGAAATCATTGAACTTTGCTTTAAAACTCAAAATAAAATTAAAGAAAAACTCAACCTCACCTTCCAAGAATAGAAGCCACCTTCTGCTGCCTTTTGATTCTTTGAGGTAGTAGCTAAAATAAAAACAAATAGAAGGCAGCGTGAACTTAATTAGGGAGACTGGCTCGCTTGACCACAAATCCTTTGATACACCAACTCATTATAATATCAAGAGAGTTACATAAAATACTTGGTTAAAGAACAAGAGAAAGAAACAGGATGGCTGTCAGAAGAGCTCCAAACAGAATCTGATCAAAGGACCTTCTCAGGGACTCTGAGCCAGGCTGAGCTGGCTTTCATCTTGCTCCAAACTAAATGCATTAAACAAATTCCTAGCATTCCTAAGTATTTCCAGGCAGGAAAGAGTTATTCCACCTGTTACTGACTGTGCTCTTAGTAACAGCCACATGGTGGAAGCAAAGCTTAAACACTAAAGATGGATTGTTTCAGCACTTTTGAAGTTCTAAGTATTAATAGTAAACAGTTCTGTGTGCTCTCTGAAGCATCTCTTCTTCTTGGGGGTGGTGATGGAAATGATGCTTTATGAAAAAAGGGAAGAGATTAGACATACATGAAGCACACACAGGCAAAGTCTACACAGACTTGCTTAGAAAATTCACTAAGTTCTGATCCAGAGCTAAGCTCCTTCTAAAAAGGCTGAGAATTGCATTTTTATTAGAACCCAGAGAAACTTTCCCCATCTTTTCAATACATTCTGCAAACTTCTGATCTTTTGCACTAGAGTAAATTTATCTAATACAGGTCCAGTTATCAAAATCTCAGAAATCTAGAAGACAATTTCTCTTTTCTCCCTACTTTTTGAGGATTTTCGTCTGCCTTCGGTTAAAGATTTGTTAATAAAGGCACCTCCAAGGAGTATCGCTTTGAATTCCAGATACTTCAGAGAAGACAAATAGGTACACGAAGCAAAGCCCACGAAGAAGCATTTTATGAAAATTTCTCTTTGTTTTCTACCGGGCACTGGATCCAGGAAGATGGGCAATTTGAATGAAACAGAAAGAAACGGAGGCGCAGGGAGTTTGGCATCTACACTCACCCAGCGGGACTGCCGTCGTTGCAGGTGACCGAGCTGTTCAGCAGCATGTGAAGCCTCAGCTCCTGGTGCAGATTCTGCGCGGAGCAAGGGTATAGCGACTGCGCCAGGTTCTTGATCTGAGCCATGAAACTGTCCATGTTCCCCTCCACGGCGGTAAAGTCCAACGGGAAGCTCTCTACCGGCTGCCCAGCCGCTTCGCTCCGCTCTCGGGCCGCCGCCGCGGGTTGCTGCTGCGGTCCGCGCCGCCTCCAGCTCTTCCTGCCCTCTCCGCCCGGACCCCAATGCAGGAGCCCCAAGAACAGCAACATCTGCACCGTCCCTCCACCCATCGCGACGCCGCCGAGCCACCTGCTGCGGAGGCAAGAGAGGACCGGGTAAGCGCCACCGGCTAGCTAGCTCCACGGGGTCAGAGCTGGGACTAGGGCTCGGTCGCCTGGCCTCGGGCGGCGGGATGCTCCTTCTGCCCCTGGTGGCCAAAGGCGCTTGGCGGGCTGGGGGGGCTTCGGCCTCTGTGCCTGCTCCGTGCCTTGCCTTGCCTCGCCAAGGGTCTGGCAGCGGCGGCCCCGTCTGGCTCGCTCCAATGAGCTGCGAGCAAAGCAGCGTCTGGGCGTAGTTAGAGGCAGCCGGTGCCTGGTGCTCGCGCTGTCCGGGTTCTGCGGCGAGGCTGGAGGGCGCTGGGCTTTTCTTGGCGCAAGGACTCGCCGCCTCGTCCCAAACCACAAGCATGACAAGAGGGGCCAGGAGTCACGGGGAGCCCACCGGGGGCGCCGCCAGCCTGGGCGTCGCATGGGGAGGCAGCGGCCAGAGAGCCCCCGCCTCCCCGTCGCTGGAAAAGGAAGAGAAGGGGAGGAGAGGAGTCCAGGGGGAGGGGGAGATTTCCCCTTTCATGCCCCCGCCAACAGACGTCGCTCTGCCGTCCGTCCTCTGGTCTCTTCTTTTCCCGTCCCGTCTGTCGAGGCGCTCAGGGAGGCCCCAGCACCTTCGGAACTTCCCGCCCAAACTCAAGGCGACGCTCCTAGCGGGAAAAGCGGCCGCGGCACTTTGAATTCTCCCCGTTTCCCGCCGGGATTCGCAGCCCAACTGGGGGGCGGATGCCGGTGAACCGCCGCCTTCCACTCGTTTGCAACCGGAGCTCGGGGTGGGAGTGGGGGTCGCTTCGGTGAAAGACCAGCCAACGCCTTCGGCGCCTCAGCTATGAGCTTCAAGGATCGGCGACTGCAACCCGGTGCGGGGTGTCCTCAACCACGTAGGCAGCGCCAGGCAGCCTCTTCGGCGCTCGCGTGTGTGCAGTATTGGTGAGGAGCAGCAGAGCCCAAGTTCTCTTTGGGGAAAAGGCAGGAGGATCTGCGGATGTCCCACTGCCTTCGGTTCTGTCTGCTTTAATCCTTTTCTTCCCCACCATCCGGTCGTGAGAAACATCCAGGGCAGAACCCGACCCATTCACGTTTCACGATAGCTACCATTAGGTTTACCATATCCGGGCTGCGGGGTTCCCGATGACCCCTAGATGGCGGTAAGCTAGAAGAATAGAATAGAATAGAATAGAATAGAATAGAATAGAATAGAATAGAATTCTTTACTGGCCAAGTGTGATTGG